TTCATATCCATTAGGATGGTTATTATCAAACAGTAAAGTGTTGGTGAGGATGTGGAAAAACTGGATCCTTTGTACACTGCTGGTAGTAATGTAAAATGGTACAACCACTGTAGAAGACACCATGGTGATTTCTCAAAAAACAGAATTACTGTACAATCCAGCGATTTCACTTCTGAGTATATACCCAAAAGAATTAAAAGCAGGGAATTGAACAGATATTTGTATATCCATGTTCACAGCACCATTATTCATAACAGCCAAAAGGTAGAAACAACCCATGTGTCCATCGAAATACGAACAGATAAGCAAAATGTTGTATATACACACAACAGAATATTATTCAGCCTTAAAAAGGAAGGAAATTGATACATGATATAACATGGATGAACCTTGAAAACATTATGATCAGTGATGAGCCAGTCACTAAAAGACAAATATTATATGATTCTACTTATTATACTATTCTCTTATCTAGAATCGTCAAATTCATAGAGAGAGAAAGTAGAATACTGGTTACCAGTGGCTGGTTGGCAGGAGGAATGGGGACTTATTGTTTACAATACAGAGTTTTAGTTTAGGAAAATGAAAAAGCTCTTGAGATGGGTGGTGGTTACAGTTCAACAACAACATGAACTTACCTAATGTCACTGAACTGTACATTTTAAAATGGTAAACTTTACGTTATGTGTACCTTACCACAATAAACAGAAGGCAAGAAGGAAGGGAAGGAGGGAAGGATGGAGGAAAAGAAGTCAGCTGAGTGGCAAGGGGACGATAATAAGTTATCAATTTCAAAAAAGTTCGATAGCACATTGGGTTGGCAAAGGAGCAGTCAGTCACTCCCATCAGACTAGCGTTATCCAAGTTAAAAACACATATCTCTTCATGCCACCATTCAATCCTAGTCATTTATCCTACACATATAGATACACAAATACAAAATGATACATACACGCACATATACAGGTTATTTATTGCACCATTGCTTTTAACAGTAAAAAACTGAAAACAACCTAAAAGCTTATCAGTAAGGGACTGGTTAAATAAATTATGGTATATCCATATAATATAATGCTATGCAGACATTAAAAGAATGAGACAGCAAGATGCAAAAAAAACGTGCTACCATTTGAGGGGTTGTGTATACGGTGAGCTGGGAATGCCTAAGTCTACAGATGTAAACACACAAAATAAGTAAGATATGATAACAGTGATGCCTCCAGGTTGGCCAAGTGGATGCTAAGGGACAGCAGAAGGAGGGATATTTGTTTTTCAATAAATATCCTTTAAATTTTGTATCATGTCCATATATAACCTATTCAAAAAAATTAAAAGTCACCCCCCATTCTCCCCCATACCATCCTAGCCCTTAGCAACCACTAATCTACTTTTTGTTTTATAAATCTGCCTATTCTGAATATTTCATGTAAGTGGAACCACACAATCAGACAACAGCCTTTTGTAGCTGGCTTTTTTCACTTAGCATAATGTTTTCAAGGTACATTTCTTTTTCTTGCTGAACAACATTCACATTTTATTTATCCATTCATTAGTTGATAGACATTTGGGTTGTCTCCACTTTTTGGCTACTATGGATAGTGCTGCTGTTAACATTCACGTATAACTTTTTGTGAAGACATATGTTTTTATTTCTCCTGGGTATAATACTATCAAGGTGTGGAACAGGGTAATATGGTAACTCAATGTTTAACTTCATGAAAAATTCCAAACTGTTTTCCAAAATGGCTTCACCAGGTTACTTGCTCACCAGCCACATATGAGGGGTGCAATTTTCCACATCCTCGCCAATATATATTATTGCCTGTCTTTTTTATTATAGCTATTCTAGTAGGGATGAAATGGTATCTCATTGTGGTTTTGATTACCAATTCACTTTTGACAAAGGTACAAAGGCAATTCAATGGAGAATGGACAGTATTTTCAACAAAAGATGTGGGAACAACTGGATATCCATATGCAAAAAGATTGAACTAAACCTCACATCTTATACAAAAATTAACTTAAAATGCATTACAGACCTAAGTGTAATATGTTCAAGTATAAACATTTTAAAAGAAAATCTTCATGAACTGAGGTTAGGCAAAGAGTTCTTAGATATGACACCAAATATATGATCCACACAAGAAAAAAGTGATAAACTGAACTTCAAAATTAAAAACTTTGGCTCTAGAAAAACACTCTTAAGAGAATAAAAAGATGCAGAGTAGGAGAAAATATTTGCAAATCACATATTCAACAAAGGACCTGTATCCATAATATATAAAGAACTCTCAAAACTCAAGAGTAAGAAAAAATACAACCCAATTTTTAAAACTGGATAAAAGACGTCAACAGGTGAAAGGAGATATATAGATAGCAAATAAGTACATGAAGCAATGCTACGCATCATTAGCCATTAGGGAAATGCAAATTAAAACCACTATACACCTATTCAAATGGCTAAAATTTTTAAAACTGACAATACCAAGTGCTGAAAAGGATGCAAAGCTACCAGGACTCTCATACCCTGCTGGGGTTGGGGGGATGTAAAACAACACAGCCTCTTTGGAAAACAGCTTGGCAGTTTCTTAAAAACTGAACACACACTTATCACATGACTGAGCAATTCCACTTGTAGGTATTTACCAACAGCAATGAAAATTTATAGTCACACAAAAACCTGTACACAAAGGTTTATAGCAGCTCTGTTCATAATTGCCAAAAATAGAAGCAACCCACATGTCCTTCAACGAGTGAATAGAAAAACTGTGGTACATGCATATAACGGAACAATACTCAGCAGTAAACAGGAATAAACTTTTGATACACAGAACAACCTGGACGAGGCATTACGGTGATTGAAAGAAGCCAGTCTCAAAAGGTTACATAGTGTATGAGTCCATTTGTATGACATTCTGGAAAAGGTAGATTAACAGTGACAGAGACAGATCAGCGGCTGTCAGGCCTCAGGGGCAGAGGTAGAGGGTGACCACAAAAGGAAAACGAGGGAGTTTCTGGTGTGATCCTGTGTCCTGACTGTGGTATATCCTGTATCCTATTTTGTTTCCTGATTGTGGTGCTGGTTAAACAAATCTTGACACGTGTTGTAACTCACAGAAGGGTATACCAAATAAAAAGTCAATTTCACTCTGATAATTTCAAAAATTAAAAAAAACTTTAAAAAGCTGGTCATATTCACGTTAAATGGCAAAAATTCAAGATTTGAGCACAAAGGGTAGGGCACTGTTAGAAATCATCTTTCTCAGAAAGCCAGCTCCTCTATATCCTTTTGTTGTTGCTGTTTTAAAACTGCTTTGTCCTTCACCTTGACTACCTTTTTAACACCCAATGACCTCCTCCCACCTTCCCCAATTATCCTGTCAGCAGTGAGGTAGGTGACTGCATGTTTAGCTTGTTATATTCTGCCTTCGGAAAAATAAAGTATCTTTTCTTAATAAATATTAAGTACAACAATATGCCTAAACATTTTCTTCAGTTATAAATTATTATAAAACTGTGTGAATAAAACAACTTGTTAGAATTCATCTATCATAACAGGGTCTCAAACATAATTTATACATATGTATTCTGAAAATTATTTTAGATAAATATTGATCCCAAAAGTTATCATGTTTGGTTATTTCCCAAAACCATATTTTAATACTGAAAAGTGATTTACCAAAAAACATTTCTCTATTCTAAAGCTCCATTCTATTCTATTAAAAGTATTCTCCCATTAATATATGAAAGCATAATTGATTCTAAAGATTTCTTTGCTGAAATATCCATATGAAAATCAAAGTGAACAAACTCAACAGACTATGAACTGACTTCCTATCAGCAGTTACTCCAGTAAATAAAGAAAGGCTTCTCCTATAAGAAAGAAGTATGCCCATTCTCTTTCCTCTAACACACTGGACTTACTTTAATGTAATAACACCAAAAGAACTATCACTGCCAGAAATTATATACAGGTCTAACAATAAGATTCTGATTAGTGTCATCAAAGATCAAAATAAGTATCAGTTATAAACTTACAGAAGCTGATTTGCAATTAGAGTCTCTAAATATAGATCCCAGAATTTCACTGAGTAAATGAGTTCTCTAACTAGTACCCACTCATGTATAAGTGAAATAATTTCAGCGTTAGAAGACTCAGTTATTTTCTATCTATATGACCTCATTTATACAGAAGGATCCTCAAAAATTTATTTCCAAACACACATTTAACTAAAAGGTTAAAAAGCAGGTAGGGGTGATATTACACTATCAATTTAAGTATGCTATTATAGAAATAAAAACATAGACTAGGTATTAAACAAACCTAATTTTAAAATGCAACTAAGCTAGAATCCAAGCCAACCCACCCAACTATAAATTGTGTGTGTGGATGTGTATACACCAACAAATATCATAGATAAAGAAAACTAAAGAACTGTCTCAACATAATGAGGCAGAGACCTCAAACCACTTAACAAGTATAGGGGTGCCATTTTAGGTAGCATCTCTCCATACCTGGTCTCCTCTTCTGTAAAATGAAAATATAACTTTTAAACCAAAAAGCATGTTAAGAATTGTTTCTACTTTTGCAAAGAGGTATTTCTTTTAGTTCAATAAGTAGAAAGTAAATTCCTTCTGTGTATTAAAGTATTAAAAGTAAGTCTATGAAAGCACTTAAAACCAATTATAAAATATAAAATGCCCCCAATTCTTACATCTTCCCAACTTCTATCTACAAAACCATGTGTAATGACTTTTGCACTTTGTAATTTCTGAAAACATGTTAATGTGGGTGATATTTCCAACCCAGATGTTCCATTCTCCAGCTCACATTCTCAAATGTTGGTTTTCCTAAAACTACCTACGATTCAACAGAATTACAAATAGCCTGGACTAATAAATCATGGAAAGTACTTTTAATAATAAACAGTCCATCAGCTTGGCACTTTGTGAACCGATACACATCCAGCAAAGAAACATCATTTATAATTGGTACATACGTTCTTTCCGGTGCTCAACTAAGCCCACAGCCTGCTTTGCTGAGCACTTTGCAAACCAATTGTCCCCGAGTAAAACAGTGACTTCATTAGTATGGACAAGTTTTCCTGGCATGAAGGCAAAGGGGCCAAATGGTACCTATTGTTTTAAGAAAAAAGGCAAAAAATTAAAAACACTACAAAATACATTTTATGAAACACTTAGCATTAAAAGCTCTGGGTTGAGGTCTTTTTTTATCTATACACCAAGAAAAATAAAATGTCAACTTCACAGAAATTTAACGTTATATTAAAGTTTGACTAGGAAAACCTATAGAAAATTGTTTTAGGTTAACAAATCAACATTAAAACAGGAAAAGAAATCAGCACATTTACATAGAACTTTCAGAGAAATTAGCATTGTCTCTGAATGTTTATACTTTTTGTTTATTCATAAATCTAAATGAAAACAAACTAGTAATGAAATATTAAGTTAATAAAGAATACCTTTGATAAAAAAACTGAAAATTATTTCCTACAAAATAGCCAATTTTTTTCCGCAAAGCAGGAATTAACAAATAAATGGCTTTAATGAGTCTACAAGATTTACAAAATATTTGGGCTAGTATAACAAAGAACAATAAATACATTTACAAAACATTTGGGCTAGTATAATTAGAAACAAAGTCTTCATGAAAAGAACATTCATGCAATGTGAGAATCTAATCCAGGGCACATGAAGAGATCTATATAGCGATACAAAGATCATTCAAACAAAATTTAGCAGCACCTTTTTATATAAAATCAACGTTCTAGGGTTTAATTCTGTGAATTACACAACATTACAGTCTATTCCTGCTCTGGCTAAACAACTAAATGCCATATTTGTGTTGTAATTACAGTCTCCTAACATAGTAAATTTGCACCAAATATGTCAAATTTTGTGCTAACATTTACGCCATTTATGTCACCATAATGTGATAATTTGATATAAATCTGAAAAAAAGGAAAAGAAGTAAATACCAACTATTACTACAATTAGTGTATTATTATAAAGTAAAACAAAAACCTTCCTTGCTATGGTAGTTACCTGATACAGTCCATCAGCTTGGCAATTTGCGAATCGATACACATAAAGCAAAGAAACATCTTACTTTACACAGTTAATATTTTTACAAGAAACAACACACTACTTTAAAAGAAACACACCAAACATACCATGATATTATAAGACAACTTATCAGGCAAAGTATTGAGTCTTTCTTGAAGCGCATTATAGTCATTATCTACCTTCTTCCTGTTGACAAAAAAATACCAAATACTAAATGAATACACAAATTAACAATTCCTTGAGGAGGCTATGAATCACATGACAAGCTAATCAAAAACCTAATTTTAGCAATTTAAAGATTAAAGAATTTTTTAATTTTAAAATCCTGTTTTCACAAAGTTTAGCAATGGTATTATTCCACCATTCATTTATCAAAGAATTAAGACTCTCAGGGACTTTGGCTTTTAAAAGAAGAACACACCCATCTTGAGAATTAGTGTTTCCTAAGGTAGAAGATAGCTGAACTAAATAAAACTTGGAAACAAGGCAGAGAGCGAAGGAGGGCCTGATGTTTGGAGGGAAACGGACTCAAGATGAAGAGAGAAGAGATTTAATAAAGCTTCTGAGTAAATAACTACAGCTGTGGAGAAGAAATCATGAAGATGAAATGTGATCAGACGCTTCAGTCCTCCTCAGAAAACTTCGGGTTGAAAACTGTGGAGTCCTCAACCCTTCAGTTATTCACACTAATGTGACAAGGGACCAGAAGAAAGGAGGTGGAGGTAAGACAAAAAGCATTTTGATTTGGCTTAGGAGTCTGTTTCATGTTAAATCAAAACAAGCTACCTAATAAATTAATTTCAAACAACAAAAAGACGTAATTCTGTAGGAGTAAAGGTGGTCATGTTTGCACACTATGAACGCTCCTCAGGTCTTATTCCTGCTGGAAATGAACAGCCCTACCCTGAGATGCCTGTTTTCAAACCTTCTCTGTAGACAAGTTTTCCTAAGGGTTCCCTGCTAGGGTGCGGGCTGCAGGCAAAACCAGAGCACTGAATTTTTCAAAGGAGAAGGGTGATGTCAATTTAAAAAAATAACAAAAACGAAAACTCACCAATTCAGCAAGTAATTTAAAAGAACATGTAGATATTGTCAAATTGAAATTAGGATAAATTGCAACATAGATAATCGCTCTCCAGATCATCAAAATGACTACTCTATAAACATCATGGAATTGGTTTCAGTTACTCCTTAGCTTCCCTAAAGCGACAGTAGCATAATTAATAAAATTATCTCATTTAGTCTTAAGAATATCAAGGAATTTCACATATATTATTTATCCTAAAAATATTCCTGTGGTGACTGTCACTTATCAACATTTTCCTCTTACAAAAGAGAAAGCAGAAGGAAGATGGAAAAAACACAGATTTTAAGAGAAATCAGATCTCCTCTATCAAGGAGAGGTAGGCAATGAATTTAACCTAGGTCTTCTGACCTGTATTCTTTCAAGCAAGTCTTTTCATTTCCTAGAGTTCAAGTGCTTTTTTTAAACTTTCCAACAAAATTCTTTTTTATAAATAAACATAAAATGTCTTTATTCCATTTGTTTAAGACAAAAATCATCCTTCTAAATAAATTTTTATATGAATAAAATGGTAAAAAAAACTTCATGCACAGGGCTACGTACCGGAAAGAACACAGTTTAAAGTCAGACCGGAGGGAGGGTGAACCCCAGCCCCACCACTTAACACACACAAAGTAACCCTACCCTAGTCTCTCCAACGGTGAAACTGGAATAACGCCTATCTCACAGGCTCAAGAGAACTAAATAGAAAGGCTTGAACACTCTGCCTAGCACTGAACATCTACACTGAGCATCCAATACCCCTTTTTCCTATGAAGTATCAAAAAACACCAATTGTAAAATTTTCAAGAAGTCTATTATCCACTAGGATAAGATTCCACTAATGTTAAATTCATTCAATTTGATACAAATAGCACAACTTACTGAAAGACAGTAAAGCTCAATGTGACCATTCAGGGGGCTCTGGAGACAGGGTTAGTGGGAGCAATAAATGGGAAACTATCCGTAAATAACTGATTTAGTACAATGCTTGCATAAACACTCCCGATTAAATCTAGGGAACACTAACAGTTTATATTTTTAGATAAGTAATTCTGCAAATGCTCAAAGACTATACATCAACTTACATGTTTACATGTCCCTAGGACTGGTAAAAAGCTGGCATTAAAATTAGCATTCAATATGTCCTATTTTGGTAACTACACCTGGAAAAAGGGGACTTGTTAACAAAACATCTCTTCTGTATATTAAAAGAACAGTAGCTTCAACCAGAGGTAATACAAGAGATCAATGTCAGTATTCCAAATCAAGTATATTCAGTTTTAAACTTATCATAATGCTCTCTAGAATAATAATGTGGACATACTGGAGAAGAGTTTAACATTGGAGTTGCTATTTCTTAAATTTTGAATTTTCTAAATGTACATAAAGAAGCGCGAAGATTTCAAAATGTAGCCACCCTTTTTGAAGGGAGGCAAGCAGTGTCTCTGGGAGAAATTATGACTTGAGGAACTCTCTCTCTGAAGGTCCCACTAGCGGAAATATTCAGGATCAAGAACTTGGTCAGCGTTGTCTCCAAATAGTCCCTCTAATATTTAGGGCTTAATAATCTCATTCAAGATCACAAAGCCTATGCAGCAGAAAATACAAAAATGATTCTAAGAACTACTGTTAAGTGTTACAGAAGCTAAGCACGGGACCTTTATTTGCACTAAAATTTGAACAAAATTTTTTCTATTTTACTACTTAGAAACATATAATTAATTTCTGGACACTGCAGCCATTCAAATATGCAGTCAAAAGAGGCAACTGTTTAAAATAATGTTTTTTCAAACAGAAAATAAAACCCAGACACAGTCAGGACAAACCTCTCAAGCCCATTTGTTTATAACACATGGACCTCCTTGTTTGGCTTCACCATATCTGATCCTTAAAGACTAGGTTCAACCTTCAATTCTTAACTTTAAAAAATCATCCAACAAATAAGATTTAATTTGCATCCGACATCCTCACCCAATGTTCCTTATAGAAAATAAGAACTAATGCACTGCTTTAAGGCATATAAGAAATTTTTACAAACTTCTTTTGAATCTTGCTCATCGTGTGCACCTTTGGTTTTAAAAAGCAGCAGCAAAGAAGGACATACCGCAGCTACAAATTAGCCTGGACTTTAAGGAGGAAGATCAGGACAGGTCCCACGAGAAATACCTTATGTTTGTAAAAAGTAGGGGAGAGAGCAAGTTAAATGACGTGTGTGCTCCAGTATTTAGATGCAGTACACGCACGTCCACCACTGACTCTGAAATGCATCAGAAAAACAGATTAATGGACTGAGGTATGGATAGACGCGAGCTCCTGGTTCACCTATACAATTCTTGCAACTTTTCTGTATGTTCACAATAAAATATTAAAAAGGAGATGGCAGAATATGGGAAAGACTCCATATTTTTAATCCTCTTCTTAAATGCAACTGACAAAAAAAATCTTTGTAAAGAAACAAAGTTCTATATCCCTTGTTTAAGGCAAGTGATAAAGACTCCAATTTCCAGCTTTAAGTAATAAAAAAGGGAAATAAAAATTAAATCACTGATTGAAATAAGATTTTGCTAATTTTCACTCTAAAGTAGGAAGTTGGAATAGGCAAAAAATACTGATACTAAGCGCTTTTTTTTTCTTTTTTAATCTCCTACCACTCTCTTTCCCTTTACCTAATATCCTAAACAAAAAAGCAGAAAACACCAAGAGGCTTAAAAGGGAAAAAAGGAATAGGGCTTTACATTAGCGTCAATATCTGGGTTAATCTGAGGCAGAGTTAATTGTTTTTTTCTTTTTTAGCTTTTAATTTAAGAAATTATAAAACCCAAAGACTTTGGAAAATGTGAGTAAATATACAATCTTTAGAAATGATTTTGAGCCCATCATCCCCACTCTAGAACTTCCTAAGACCCAGGAAAAGCTCTGTTTCCATCCAGTTCACCACCTACTGAGCGACTCCTCTGCAGCCACGCGCACACCACAGCTGCAGGGGTGGCGCTCAAATACAGCAAGACTTTTTTTTCAATGCTTCTTTGTTAAAGATCCATCAGGCTTGGTGGATCCCTAAACCTTCTTAGAGTTTTTACCTCTAAAACTAAGAAAATAGAAGACTATTAAATTCAGGCATGGATTGTAAACAGGTAAAGAAATAAGTCTTCTCATTACTAAGGGAATGATAATGCTTTTCTTCAAAGTATCCTCTTCAACAGTCTAAACAAACTGTTACGGTTATATTAAACAATAAAAACATTCTTAAAAGACAGGTCTCCATTGTTGTGCTTTCTGCAATTCGGTGGGAAGGGGAACAGATTAAAAACTTAAATGCATCTGTATTAAATCAATAGCATTCTTTTCTTTTCAATGGTCATGGCAAAATACTATTCAGTCAAATGAAATCAACTATAAATTCAGGCAATATGGTGGCACAGTCCTTTTTCTCAACTCCTTTACACCTAGGAAACTTACGTCATCAGAAGATGCTGATGACATAATCCATGCTCTTTATATGTTATGAGTCCATTAGAAAACTTTATTATTAGAAATAGATACAACGATGAACCTAAATACAAAAACTCGTAATTTTTCAAAAGTTAATGACACAAAATTATCCAAAAAGAGACAGATGCAGCTAACATTCTACTAGATTTCTTCCATTGCGCTTTTCAATGGACAGAGGAATCTGTTCCAGCGCTCTCTGCTAACAACCACGCACATGTGACTGACACCTGTCAGTTACCCTAAGTGCCAGTCTCTTCATCCATCAGTATTCTTTTGCTCTAAGAATAAAATGAGATGTGAATTCAAAGTAAGAAAGTTTAAAAATTACATGAAAACATATTACTCCAAGTGTGAAACAAATGCCCCAAAGTGCCTAGTTCAGTTATCCCTAGGTGATGAGTTTACAGGTCATTTTTATTTTATTTACTTTCTAAATTTTGTACAACCGATATATATTTCTGTAACAAATTGGAAGGGAGGGACCTTTTAGAAAAGATTAGTTTAGATGTGATAAAAGTTTATAACTGACTTAAGCTCTCAATGTTTGTGTCAGTTTCTACTTAAACATAAGCAAAATTTGAGTTTTGTCATTTTGATTTTGATTTTCTATACTTTATTTCCAAAGTAT